CATTGACGTCTACAATTCAACCCAACTGTTTGATCTCACAACTGTCGCCTGGTATTACGTAAATTTATTCTCATAGAATAACATGCTTTGTCTTGATTCCGGTGAAAATATTCATTCATGCATGAATTAAAAATAGGTATAGTTATTATGAAGGATCTTGGCATTCCACTTCACGTTTGAACGTGAAATACGCCACTGAAATGATGCTTAGAATTGGGTTAACATTAATAAATTTAGTCACACTAAACACTTCAGAAAGGGGAGACGGGATGTTTGGGACGAGTTAGATAAGTTGTAGGTAGCAATGGTTATTTGAAACAGTAAAACAGTTAACTATACGTCAAGCAATGTACTTGATAATAGTAACAACGAAAAATATAGAAATAATAAAAATAATGATTCAAAGAGTAGGTAAACAGGCATGATTGTAAAATAAGTGTTGGCTTTTTCATTGGAATACAAGAATGAATTACTATTAATTACGGAAGCACTGATAGACTGGTATTGTCTTCTTGTGAACACAATGCTGCTTGAATAAGTGTGCTGGCAACAGCTTAAGTTCAAGAGTAGCAACAAGTTCTCAACATGTTTGTTAATATAACAAAATTTTAGAAGTAGGAGTAGATAAATATAACTGATACATATATATTTAGGACCTTGTTTTACTTAGGCTGTGACTGAGTTTTTCATTCCATACTGTGAGGAAAGCATTCCACTTAAAAAGGCCTCGAAAATAACACTCATGATCTGTTTGGTTATTCCACACATCACTTCGTCACTTTGAAATTATAAAGTGAAGTGCACGAGTTTTCTTTTCACATGACCTCATACTTATCTTTTTCTCTCAACTACGTTATACTTTTGCTTCAGCTTGGTCCGATTACCACCCTCACTTATATTGTCGAAATTGTCGAAATCTGGTTGTAACCTTCCATCTTTGCATACTGACACAGTATTCTTACTAATCTTTTCTGATGGCCGATGGAACTAAATTTAAACATTGAACATGTCATGCTGATTTACATAAAATATTCTCACCTATTTTCCATCTAACACCTTATATTTCCACTGAGGAGCATAAAATAGCGTTTCCTACAGGACTGAACCATCTCTTGTTATCCAAAATACTAACCAGTATATGAAGACCACATACACTAATAATGTTAACTGTTATACAGTAGTTGCTCTTCTGTATTATTACTTATTCACGTTGTGGGCAGCTAGCTGGTGACTAATCACTGAACTACAATAAATATATTTCACTGGCAGAAAGCTGTTTCGACTATTTTCAACGAGGTGATATAACTGTTTTCATTCGTTTATGTTTAAGATGTATCGTGTGAATTGATGGTCTGGTGAATAGATGTTACTTTTATGCTCGACTTTTCTACTATTCGTTAACGTAAACTTGTTGAAACGCAGTTTTCGTCTGAAATATAGTATGCTTATAAAATTCGCTTCTCTAGATCACTTTGACAACTTTTATCTACTGACAGCTTAATATAATCAGAGATATATATGCGATTGGAACAAAGCTCAAGTGCAGTGACTTTGATCTTTAATCGAAGTGATGAAACATGCTATCATTACTTAGAAATGCCCGTTAGGTGACTTGGAATCTTCTATTTTACTAAGTTAATCTTATTCTTTAAATGTTGTTTTTAGTGGTTTGATAAAAATGCTATTAAACCTAACTCTAATTCAGCCTGTGATTGGGGTGTTTGAAGCTTTTTATGCAAATACGCCAAGTTTGTCAGATTCATTACTTTTTAATTCATAATTCACAAGAAAATCATAATACTTTCATAAAATAAGGGTTGTAGTCCCATTTGGAACTGTAATTATGTAACTGAGAAGATTACTCCATATGTAGTCTTGTATTAGTGCAAACCAGTAACCCTCTAAATGTCTGATGGTACCACTAACTGATGTCTTTGGTTAACCTTCTGAGTAAGAAGAACATTTCTTTCATGATTCCTGAAATTTTATTTTTTGTTTGATGACTGAATCAAGAAGAGTTACAGTTTCACATGAAATGATGATCATTTTATTTTTGAAATAACTAATCGAAAAATATTAGCTAGAAATAAGTTTTACATTTAGACCCTTGCTACTATATTATAGCTCATAGGGCGTTGATTATATTTTACTGTGTTTACTTTGTAGACATTATTCTATCGCTCAAATACTCAATATATGTACCAGCAATTTAGCCTAAATTATATAGCTTAAGGTTGCAGGCCATCTCTGCTGACCTAGTCGATCGTGTACGATAGCTGCCGTTGTGTATCTAGAACCTACGAGGTTAAAAGAATATTCGTTGGCTGTTAGTTCATCTGTCAGGTTAACAATCATCACAATTTCTACCAACTAAACCTCCCTAATCAATCCAAGCAACATGAATTTTTCAGTTATTCAATAATATGAATTAGTCAGCTAAACCATAGGAATACATACTGATGTCATTTAAAAAGAAGCAAATAACCAATCACAGTAAATTGATTTTTTAAATTCAAATGTGTCTTGGTTAATCACGGTCCTTTTTCATCACATCGAATCTTGACCACTTTGGTATAATGATGAGCAGGAAGCGCCCTAAATGGAAATCAACATTCCAGGTCACCAACCAATAAGGTGGAAGCTTCTGTATTTCAATCTTTATTTCATGGTGTTGTGTGGTCAAGAAAAGACCTCACTGGACAAAATATCCTGCGGTCGACCAATGAAAACAAATTATTCAATTTTTACTCAGTATTTCTGTATGTTCATGAAAACTACATAAATAATGCATTTTTGTCAAATAAAGTATCCTCCTTACAGTCGCAGGTTGGTCGTTTTCTTCTGATTTCGGTGGCTCAGTGAAGCATAATGTACTGGGGGAGAATAGTCGCTATTCGTAACCAGTCTAAACGTCTCATCGCATTATCATCGTTCTCGTATTTTCTAATTATTTCACTCGGTCACGTCAGGAATAAATTGCGATAGTAAACAAAAGATTGTGATCTGCAGGTTTACAACAATGCAACTATGATTATCAACATCTAACATGCATCTAGGATTTTGATGATAATACCTCGCATAAGTTAAGTAATTCATTAAGACTTTTACACGTTTGAGTTTTTGAGAAATGCTGTAATTTCAGTCAGTATTTTGAGTACGCTGTCTTAAAAACAGTAGTTTCTTCCACAGTAACAGCTTTTAGGGAGGCGGCTATCACAAATATATGTCAGCCACTGAAAATCTGGAAAAATTTCTCATCTGCTTCATCGTGGTTTGAGACTCCTAAGTTATACTCACCCTTGACCCCATATAGGACTATTAGTTCTCTTTTCTGAAAGATAGAAGACGTTTGGGAAACATCTATTTTAAAATAAAGGTGACTTAATCACTGTGTGAAGCCTGGGAAAACAACTTAGTGGCACACTTGTCAAATGTTTTAAAAGAACGGAATTTAACTGAAATCATGTTATTTGCATAAAAATTCGGTTTTCGTACCATTTTTCACTTTTATATGTTAGTTGATAGCACAGTCAACATTTACTCGCTTTTCCTGTCTTTAGTAAGATAAGGTTAAGAAAGTGATGAAATATTTTAACGGAATTTGACTTTTAATATATCGATCCTTTGGTTAGAGATGTTTGCTCTGTGATTATTAGAAAAGATTCACCAATGACGATCATGGTGACACAAAACCTTATGCAGCTGATGAAAAGTAAAACCAATCGCAATATTCAAAATATACGGGGTTATGAAACAAATATTTTATTTCACTAGAGATTCATGAATGGGAATTTACTACATCGTTCAAAAGAAGTTTGCTTACATATTATTTTGCTCATTTAAGTCCATCAATTAAATTTGAAATGTTATCTACAAGCTATATAAAACCCTTATTAAAATTTTCAAAAATTGTGTTGCCTAAAATTAAGGTATTGTTTCAACTGCCTTCCATAATCGAGAATGAAAATAAGCTTCTTTTAACCAGTTTTAGTGCACAGTTGGGTCTGGCTTTTTAAGGCTACAAATATGCCTTAAGGATAAGCAAGGACACATGAATAAGACTCATAGTTTTCGAATGCTCTAAAATTTTTGAATACTGTAATCCATTAGAACTCTAGTGGTTACTTCAAATCATCAGTATATTCAAGCTGATAGGTGCTGTGGCCATGCTCTTTTCCTGCTGAAGGAAACAAGTAAGAAGAATTTAACTGATTTCAACTTTGTTGCCCTCCTAAGAGTATTTTCAAGCTTCTGAAACTGTTATATCACCTTCAAGGAGTGATTGAATCCAAAAAACAAATTGTCACAGTTATCAATTTATTCTATTGACCATTGGGAAACAGAAGCAAACACTCAGAATGTTAGGAAGTTTACATAATGACTGGGAGAAGATGTAAGGGACATGCAGATATACTAATCATCGAGAGATTTGAAAACATGTCAAGAGGTTTTAAACTGGTGAACACTATTAAGACGATAATTAGACAGAAGATAAGAGGACACTAGTGACTTTCTATTATATAGAGAGACTGGAGACAGATGCTTTACTGCAAAAGTCATTTCAAGATGACACGAAAACGCCCCATTAATTCACGACCTTGTTTAAGTGTTAATTCAATATCTCAAGGTGCGATTATCATTGCTGAAGCTGTGCAAAATCTGAAATATTACAATACACCACGTTTTGATCGCCACTTTTTGTTTATTTCTGATGGTTGTGGGTCAGGATTAACAGATGACTTGACCAGAAATCAAAGAAAACCATGTATATCAGATACAAACTTCAGTAAACATATCTACTTTCCAATTTGATGACCATTAAGTAATTTTTGGAAGATAATTTAAAAAAGTTGTTTTTATTAGACTTCATTTTGTCAAACTGACTACGTTAAAATATATGAGTACTCTTCATGGTTCAAAACAAAACTGTTTCATGCTGTTAACTGACAGGAATCACTGAGAAAGAACTTTTATTATTTCATGCCGGTTACAGTTCTTACCTTGTTTACACCAATAAAAAGAACATGATCAGTAAATTTACTAAAAGGATGAAACGACAAAATGATACGGTATTCAACTTACTTTCCCAAATTTGTTTGATTTTCCCAAAAGCCACTGATACCTTGTTCCGATTCTGTTTCAGCTAGCAGTTTCTTGGCTTCACTTTCTTCACTACGTAATAGTTCTACAGTCCTAGTTAGTATTCCCTTTTCAGCACGTAATTCATTTAGTTGTGCACGTTTCTGTTTATATATTGTATTTTTACTACGAAGTTTTGTAACATATCTTTGAAACTAAGAATAAAGAAAAGAAGTTCTGGAAAAGTGAGATGAATGTGTGAAACAGTCAATCTTTATCGATGTGTGAAAATTAGACATGATAAACCTATACTTACTCAGTGAACTAACCGTTTGATTTTAAGTGAGAGTAAATATATTTCTAATTTGCTACATAGCAGTTTAAAATGCAATCACGTTTTGAGATGAACTCCAGTAAGACAAAACTCAAAGTTCCAGATGTTTTAGCCACTCATCCCTAAAGAGAGATATATATAAACGTAAGACCATGCAAACAAGATATGCATGAGTTCAAGTTGCTACAGTTCAACGCAACATGCAAAGAGGAACTGGAAACTAAAATATTCCTTTAAAGTAGATTTAAGTGTTTAAGAGGAGCAGAAATAAGTAAGTGAAGAGTGATGTTCAAGACTTCAAAGATGGAAAATTAGTAAAAGAAGAAAATATTCTGTTCGACAAATCATTTTCAAAAGTTGTGCATCGCAATCATAGTTATAACAAAATGTGTATCCATTGCTAATGGGTCAAAAGAAAGTCATCAAAAATGGTTCATAAAATCATAAGGCTATAAAGTCAAATCAGGGTCATCAAAAATTACTGATGGGATTATAGTATGTAAACAAAGAAATGAATAAACTGTCTTAGAGATATTATGATCAAGGCAAACATAGAAATTGAATGTATATTTTTTGGACACAGAGAACAGCCTTCTAAGGCTGGACTGTCAGAAACTCTGCAGTGTTGAAGAGGAGAGTGCTCATTCCCTTAAAAATGGTTACCTTCGCTTTATAAATAACCTTGAGAGAAAACTGATTTCACCTTGTGACTTTATTGACCGTTTCGATGGCTTTGAATTATTCTATTAGTCAATGATGGATACACATTGTGTTGTAACTATTATTAGGATATATAGTTTTTGAAGATGATTTGTAGAAAAAAACATTTTCTTGGCTGAATCGCCTTTCATCAGTACTTCAACGATGAAAAAAGTGTTGATATCTACGTCATTTTGACTGACTTTGACCCACATCAAAAAACAGTCGCAAAATTCATGCCTAAATTCTCGAATATCCAAGTCATGAACCCTACGTCTCACTGTGAAGCTCAAACCAGTATTCAAAGTCTTTATGAACCAGTACAATATTCTGGTCTGGTCATTCATAGCTTTCTTCCAACCTAGTCTTACTTTGAATAAAATCCCCTGTTGAAATAACCGGTAGCTAAGCAGATGCAACACATATCGAAACCACCTCAGTCAGCAAAAAATAAAAACCTCATCATTTGACCTCCTGTTTTTGTTTAGTGTTCGACACAGCACTGAAACACTTCCTTACACATTCATTTCTGATAGACGTACTATATGTGACAGACAAAGTGGAATTTTCATACAGATAATGCCAAAAATAAACCAATGCAACATCTCGTTACGAACTAAATGGAAGACACTTTTTATCTGAAGAAAGATGTTATAATATTATCGGTTAATATCTGTGCTAACTCTTAAATTAATTAACTGCAGAAATCGTGGTATCCAGCTAAAACCTCAAGATTGATAGCCTAATATAAGTTGATGATATGCTTTTGATTGTTCACAGTCTCCAGAACATAAATAATTTCCTTATTGAGTGCTAGATACTAGCTGGAAATGACTGATCTGTTCTGACTGTATAACATGAGTGGTCTAGATTTGATAACTATCACAGTTGATAGTGCCTACTGCTAAATGCATCTAGGTAAGACGAGACTACCACTCAGATACCCCTCGTGTTGAAACCTTAGGATAGGATCGGGAATATTCGACAGATATTTCTTGAAAATTGCTACAAAAATATTCAGTAGTGCCAATCATTCTCTTTATTTTCAAGATAAACAAGAATTGCTTTCCCGCTAATTTGGATTATTCCAATGGGAAACATTTCAAACAATCATGTATAAGACTTATTCTTTCAGTTGAAAACGTTGTGTCACACAACTCTGTATGTTGACAGAATTCAATCAAATATGCATGATACCAGGAGGTTGAATGGCTGAAAACAATAGTGAATTATCTTTCAAAGCAGGAAGATATGAAGTTAAGATTTCCATTGTTTAATTTATGCGTATATATGCTTTACAAGGGAAGATTAAGAAGATAGACAAACGTCAAGTTAGTTTTAAGCTTAATACTTTCATATCTATGTCACACGTTTTAAACAATATATGAGTACACGTAAAAAAACTCTTTTACCTTGTTCTCTTCCGTCACGACTGTAAAAAATGTGAATAACATAAATGGCCAACATTGAATCGGTCTATGCCTAAGTTTAAGATTCAGTACTAAAATCGATAATTTTGTTGAAAAGCTACATTTAGAACGCAATATACACAAATACAAGTTTAAGCTTGTTGCTAAAATTCAACCTTCTCCAACTTGTTTCTACTATGGCGAATGCATTTTCCCTCTCAAACTATTAAATGACTTAAATTTTTTGACTTTTTGTTACCGATACACCTGCTGAGACAAACTGTCTATGACACACTATTCTATTCAATTCTTTCAAATCGCAGATGGCAGATAAGACAATCATTAGACTGAATAATCTATGAAAAGAGGGCACGGCTGTTTAGTGCATATATCCTTCGGAAAGTTAATGAGCAATACCTATGAATAACACATTAATAGAAGCCTGGTGTCAAGTGAAGCAAAAATAATAACATACAGCAATCACTCGTTGCAAAAACCAGATTTTAAATCTTGAAAAATTAGCTATCATCATCCTAATAACTATAGAAAAACAGAGATCAGAAGTGAGCGAAGATATTCAGTTTTACAGGTTCAGACTGTCCCTCTCATCGTAAGACAACAACATGATCCCTGCAAGCCGCTGCATTCCTAACCAATAGATGGTCTTTTATGAATAAAAGTACACTTCCTTATCAGTGTTTTTCACAAGTTCTGTCTCATTTGCACTGGGAATTATTTGTGGAGCCCAAAAATTAGAAATGGTGCTAAGTATAAGACACTGTTAAGCTATTGTTTAAGATCACAATATAAACCGCAATCATAAAATACAGTTACACGCAATATGTAGAGGCACTGCAGATGTATGTATAAATGACAATGATTAAATTCAGTCGAAGCAAAAGATGAAATCAAAACACACTCACTTCGTATACAGTGAGTTCACCGAAACAATTATTTTAAGATGGTTACCTAGATGATTGACTAACAAAATCAACGTAGAACCTCCTACAAAGCTACATCGGCTCCAGTTGACACGCTTCACAATAGCACACAAAAAACAGCCAGGTAGAAAAAGAGTGATTTCAAAGTAGATAAAGTTGTGTGAGAGAATAAACAATCTGAAGATAAAGGTTAATGAGAATATTCAAGCTTTAGAAGATGTCAAGGAATGAATACGTCTACACCATTGTCACCGATTTTCAGCCATGTTACCAAGCATCCCCAACCACTGACTCCTTTCGTTTCGACGACCCCAACCACACAGTCTACATCTCCCCATACGGTTCAGACCAACAGTCAGGGACTTCATCGACTACTGTCAGGCCTTGGTTTGGCCACCATGGACCCTCTTCCAACTTCCCCCAGCGTAGCACCGAAATCTATGATACTTCACAATTTATGTGTCAGCACAATTAAACATCTAACTAGGCAGATTATGGTCACTAATCACTGATAAACGAAGAAGAATGAATCACACTTGCTATTTACAATACGCAGTATACTGTTGATCACCTGCACTTTGAAAACGAATGAACAATAGTCTTTAGTTGCATAGATCAGCTTAGATTCTGATTCTGATAGTCACCAATAAAATCCCACTTAGTTAAGAATGAATACATGCGCTTAGTTTGTCGAAAAGTTTACTACTGAACAACCATCTAATTTGATCTAAGGATTTGAATTACCCAGATCACGGTTAACTAAACACTACACACTCTTTTCTTGTTAAAGGAAAAACTCATCATACATGCATCCAAAAAACATTCAGCTCCGTAGAACCGAACTCTTTAACTAAGTGTATCTAGTTTGCTGATTGGATAAACGCACATAACACAGAATGAATGAAAGGGTCACGAAATATTACTGCACACTAAACTCTTTGAATAAGTATTTGCTTGGTCAAATCCACCTGGTCTACAGAATTCGGTCACTTGAAATGATGGTAAAAGATATTTTCTGTTGAATTGAGAAAAGTTATGGCAGTTTCAGTGACCTTCATTTCCGATGAAATAACATTAGGTAGTTCACATTCAAGCTGATACGGAAATAAGACATCCTTCAGAAGGTTAGCTTGCAGAACAATAATACTTACAGTACTTCCAATTTATAGAAAGTTGTTCTCGAATGGTGAATTTTCTGACAAAGGTATATTGTTAAAACTCAATTTCGGGAGCTTTGGTTTGAGGTTGGTGGGGGACGCGAGACAATGTCCCCTCACAGGCCTAAAGATAGTGCTGGCCAGAAACAAGACTGCAACAGACGATCACCATTGTCGGTTCGTTGGCATGCAGTTCGGTAAATATTCCCAAGGTACTTTTCCCATTACCTTAGCTAAGCTTCCCTACGTGAGAACTACAGCCACCCGACATTATGACTACATCTGAACGTTTTGCTTTCTGTACCAAAATTGACAGCTTCTCATTGAATTCATCCTTTGCATTATCCGAAATACAGTCGGTGGATGAGGAGGCAGGGATCACGAATAGACATCGCTTGCTCTCACGATCCTTCCCAGTCCTTACAGATCCATTCAGTCGAACAGCAGACGGACGGCTGTTGACTGGTGTCCTGTCAAGATGCACACTTTCTGCTCCACAACTCAATACTATGCCAGGTAGACATTGGGAATCCGGATACTCGCAAGGTGAAATTTGAAGATTCACTACTATGACTAGACGAGATCAATTTCAAAACCACACTCTAGTCCTGTAAACTTGTCTCAGAAACAGTCGACGTATGGACCAATGGTTTAAGGAGATGACCCAATGGGTCA